AAAGGCTTCTTTCGCAGAACAAATATGTCTAGTGGCACCTGAGTCGAGAAACCACTCCTTGGGATTTCCAACTAAGTCACACTCCGATATCATTAAACACAAGTCATCTGCATCTTCCATCTTTTCCACGATGTTTGCTTGACTTTTGCCTTTGCCTTTGTTTTTGTCCTTTCTTGGAGCATGATAGTCAGAAGACCTATGACCAGCCTTGCCAGAATTGTAACAGTTGTCTTTGAATTTCTTCTTGGCCTGTTCTGACTTCTGCCCGTTGGACTTCTTTCTCTTTTTGTCTTTGGTAGGAGCTTCTTCAACAATATTAACTCCAATGATTGTTGAACCCTTACGCGACTTCTTTTCGGAGTTTTTGTTATCTTCCTCAATCTTGAGCCGAATCAAAAGATCTTCAAGCTTCATTTCTTTACGCTTGTACTTTAGATAATTCTTGAAATCATTTCACGAAGGAGGCAACTTCTCGATCATTGCAGCCACTTGAAAAGCTTCATTTACTACCATATCTTCAGCAATCAGATCATGGAGAATAAGTTGAAGTTCCTACACTTGTGGATTATTTATGTTTGTCAGGAATGAAAGACACGTAAAAGAATTTGTTGAAAAGTCAAATATGCCCTCAACTTCAAATATATTGACATGAAGCTAACATGTGAAAGTTAAAACTCCCTCATATATATATATATATATATATATACACACACACACACACACACTAGAAAAAAGGGGATAATTATATATAATAGCAAACTAATAACCTAAAATAAATGTAGTTATGGTTTGATTTAATTGTGCTCCATAGCAAACATTAGTCAAAGTTTGTCAATCGCTTCTCTCCCAAAAATCTCGCTCGCCACTCTCCCTCTGCTCGCCTCTCTCACTTTATACACAGAAATGTATAAATTGTGTTTCTGTTTGTATAAAGCGAGAGAAAATTGTATATACACATGCAAAAATAATATATCTTCGTGCTATACACTTAATTATATAATTTACAAACATTTTACTTCAGTTCAATTGTAGACAAATGCAAATTTTATACAAATATTGCAGCGAAAAAGACCAACGAATTATACAATTGCGAATTATACAATTGAAGTGAAATACAATTTTCTCTCACTTTATACAACAGAAGTGTATATATTGTGTTTCTGTTTTTGTATAAAGCGAGAGAAACATATATCTTCTTCCTATACACTTATAATTATGCAATATACATACATTTTACTTCGATTCAATTGTATGCAAAGCAAATTTCATACAAATATTGCAGCGAAATAGGCAGCGAATTATACAATTGTGCATTATACAATTGCAGTGAAATAGGATAGCGAGTTATACAATTGCAGCGAAATAGGCCAGCGAATTATACAATTTAGGCCAACGAATTATACAATTGTATATGTATAGCGAATTATATAGTTTTATGTTTGCTATGAAGCAGCACTTATGCAAACTTTGCTATAGCATACAAATATGAATTTTTTGTTTGCTATATGTGAAAGTTGCCCTAGAAAAAATGACCGGTGCATGCACGGCCCAACATGATTCAGCCATTTAATTGATGCTAAATAAATTAAAAGTCATCAAGTGAAAGAAAAAAATGGTACTACTATAAATAATAAATACTTTTTTTTCTATTATATAAATACTAAATATTTTATTATTATACTATATTTATGTAGGTTTTCCTTCTTTATATGGATTGACACGATTTAAATAAAACAATATTCATCAAAGCAACTGAGAGTACATATTAAGGAAGGACTACACACAGTTACTACTTTCATTTCATGTTCTTAAACAATTTATTTTTCCAGTTGTAACTCAAGTTGTTAAACTAATTGTAACTACAAAAATATATGTCCAATTGATCAATTAATAAATGAAAAGGGCCAATGTACCTGTTTTACATCATCCAAATAGCTCATACAACATAATATTTTCAAAAACCATAATCTCTAAGTAGTACGTTGACCACAATTATCAAAACTACTTCAATTGCTAGAAATAAGTAAATGCAACAACCTGGTGAGTACAACAAGGTAGTATCACCACGGGGGGATCTACTTAGAATTGTGGTGGGTCACGCTACCCACGAGCTTCGATCGAAACGCGATATATGTATAAGTGTATATATGTATCATTTGCATAAACAAATAAATGGCACCCACAGAACCAAAAGGCGTTGTAGTGCCACTGGTAGAGGGTGGTACTCCCGCCTCTCAGACCCCAGATCAAATTTGGATGATAACATTTAAAAAAAAATAAAAAATCAGCAGGATGAGGAATTTAGCTTCAACAATTCATATTTTGAAGATTATATTTCCCCTTTTTCTTTTAAATTCTAGTTGACTTTGTTTTAATTAGTAATTATTGTAGACTAATTTAATTTATTAATCTTTAATTTTTTATAATTTGTTATTAGTTATTTGTTTGATGGAGAAGTGTTAAAAATAGTTATGCTGTCACGTTAAAATGAAGATGTTCTCTATTAATAATTTTATTAAAAATGTCCATATGGTTTATAATTTATTCAAAAAATGTCTCCACTACTAATATTTTGACCCTAAAAATGTCTATGTTATTATTTTATTATGTCAAAAATACGCCTCTAATGAACATAATTTTTTTCTATTTTCTAATAAAATTATTGTTTTTAAAGAATCCCTTTCTTTTTTCTTTTCTTTTGAAAACATTTTAGCTAAAAATATGGACATAGTAATATTTTTCTTAATCTCATTTTGTAATTTAAATACAATAATGTGATGTATTTTGTAAATAATATCATAGTAACTTCATCTTTAATTTTTATTTAGTTATAATAAATCCTTTTTCCTAATAAAATAAAAAAAATTCTATTTTTTAATATTTTTAGAATTGATTAAGTAAATATTTAAAATATGACTTTCTTCCATGCAGTAGATAAAAAAATGAAATATGAAATAAGAGTGATGATTAATATTAAAGTGATTCGTTTAGTTTGTTAGCAACGGACATCTTTACAAATATAAGTAATTTAAAATATGTAAACTCGTCGAGAAATATCATAAATAAATAATATATAAATATTAGTAAAATTATTTAAAAAAATGTTAAGCTTTATGAACTTTGTGTGGAATCGAAACCTAAGGTTGATTTAGTGATCTAAGCAATGTGTCTCCTTGGCACCCACGAAGTTCAAATCCTGAATTCGCCTCTAAGTATCACACTCAATTACATGAAAAGCAATATAACAATAGATCCAATTACATGAAGAGCAATATAACAATATATCCATGAGCCCCAATAAAATTTATATGTAAAAACTATTGTTCTATAGTAAAATAGTTTAAAATTCGAGAGACGATAAAAATAGTTTAAATTTGTATCATCAATTGTAGCTTAAAATTTCTCATATTTCTTTATAGCTTCGCACTCTTATATCTTTCAAGCCTCTTTTTTTTTTGAGTCGAAGCTGTTTCGGAAGATAAACTCTATGCTGCCAAAAGTAGAGACATCCTGCGTAGATCTTGCTTATGGGATAATCATTTCTTTTAAGAATTTAAAAATCAGCATATTGGACACTTTAAGTTGTTACCTTGAACTATCATTGAGTTATGTCATGAAATTAGTGTCAAACACTTTTAGCTTGTTTTTCCTCTTCAAAATTTTATCCTGGACAAGGAATAAAGAGTATTGAACATTCCAAAGGCGTAAAATCATAATTACAACCCTATGTTAAGTGAAAGGAATTTACTATGACTATAGATGCAGGTACTTAATAGACTTACTGGATTCCCTTTCCATTCAGATATCTCATCCTATACCTATAAAACACGTGCAAATATGAAAAAAGAAACAAATTAATGATGAGCTTCAAATTAGCTAAGTGTTATAGTAGCACCAAAGTCCTATATACTGTAATGCTAAATCAATGAAAAGGTGATAACTGAATTTCTTTGAACTCAAAAATTTTATGAATATTTTCTCAGCTCACTTGCTAGGTCTTAAAACTAAAATCGCACTTCACACATGACAATCATATATGATATAACTCTCCAGACACACTCTGAGAAAATTTATCGGATATATCTAAGATTTTAGAAAGTGTATCTTTCTTATGTACGTATTTAAGATTATAATTGTATAATCACAATTAAATAAAGTATAATATAATACAGAATAGAACAATATTAAACGAAGATAAAAAGAAACAAAGGATTTATTTACTTGTGATTAAAATTAGAGATAGAACAATACAAAGAGAAATTGCACATTTGTAAATTACTCTTACTCGCCACGCCATATATAGCCTATCATTATTATTCTAGAAACATCGATCAGTTAAAGAATTACATTTTCAACCTTCGACGATTTTAAAAAATAACACAACCTCTGCTTGCCTCTATCATCCAAGATGTAAGCACACATTCATCCAAGATGTAAGCACACATTGCTTTCATCATTCAAGTACTAAGTAGGACCAGTGAGAACAAAAAAATGACAATATGCTCCAAGGACAATGGCACATAATTCACTCAAACACTTTTGATTGAATTTTGATTGAGGCAGTTAATTGCAATCCCATTTTAACCTCCCCTCCCCTCTTAATCTGCAAGTTTTCTTGTCCCAAAATGAAGCAATTTGTCACAGTCCAAAACAAAATCCTACAAATCTCGTAGTCCACAAATATCCCAGAGAAAATCTATCAAGAAATTTCCTCTATTACAAAAGTAAAGTCTACATGTGCAATTCAATTTAGCACCTTGAGAAATAGCGAAATCGAATTGGATCTTCCTCCATTAAAAATTATGTATGATTAATTCAAAAAGGAGAAAATAATGACCAAAAACATACATATCCACACATATAGCAGGGGCAGCAGAATGGTTATATATATAGCAGCCAAAAACACACCTCCAGAACATTTATGCTGTGTGTTTATTCAACTTTACTATGGAAGACACGTATGTAACATAGGAAATGAACAACAAGAGTTATCAATTTGATAAATGTAAATGACTAAAATATCCTTGTATTTCATTTTAAAAAGACAAACAACACACATGTTAAAACTCCCTCTTCTACATAAGACTAGAAAGTATAGCATGTGCCAGCACGGGCTCAACACAATATCAGAATCACTAAGCTATTGAGGATCTCAGTAATCAATTTTCAGTAATGGTTAAGATCCTTAAGCACATGTTCAAATGGGACAGAAGAGAGGATTGAGTAATCAAACGAAATCTTAACGTAATCTAATGTTTGTTCCTGTGCTTTATTTATAGTCATTGCAAAGCATAGACGTATAGAAAACTGTGTTCTTTTAAAAGAGGAAACAGGTATTTTTTTCATCCTCTGATGATAGTAATGGTATTCTTGATACAAATACGTGTTCGTCTCTGAAATCACCACTTGCAATTTTACAACTTATAACATGTTTTTTTGAAATCACAGCACACCAATCGTGTGAAAAGCAGAACTAACATCAGTAAGCGTGCCCTGCTTTTTTCAGAGAAAATTCGTGTAGAAGTCTTCTCATTAATTTCAGTTTGTTGCTCCCCAGCATCATGATCAACCAAAGCTCTATCAACCTGATGGCCTCTTGCGCATTGTGTTTTACACAATAAAATTTTATCAAATAAAATAGTAACAAATAATATAAAGGATATCTCATGATCACGTGATGAAATGAAGTCAAGTACTTTATTGTTGCAATTACTATCCATATATTATAACTACCAACACATCAATCGATCCTGAAACAGGATATAAAGCTAAAAAAATATGATGGAAAGCTCTGCATAAAGCTATTGCCATCAATTTCTTGTAGGATTTGGATTGGAATCCAACATGTTGCCAATTGAGAATTGGCCCTTCTACTGTTGCCAAACGGATAGTATGACTTTAGCAGTTCTAAAATCATAAGAAGATAGTTAAAATAACTTAAATAAGAGGCTGTCCAATATTTGTGAAACATGACTTGAGCCTAGCTAAAAATATTCCTTTCTCTTCCTTCACAATTTTTTGGTTAAGCACATAACACAAAAACTTACAATAAAAGCAGAATAACACAATGAAGTGTCCGTAATAGAGAAACTCCAACCAAAAAAGAAAAGAAAGATGAATACATCTCACTAATTTAAGTGCTAATAATTTTTCAACATCTTCCTACATAAGATTCAAGTGTACATGCAATTAACTTTTTGTGTAGCATCAAGTGGTAATGTAGAGTAGCAGCAAGAGTAAGCAAGAAATTGCACTGGAAATTAGAAAAAAAGAAAAGCTCAAGAGGTACAACAGTTGCATAGCAGTCTAGTTAACCAATGTTATAGTATATAAATCAGCTAAGTGTTATCAAAAAGGAAATAAAGAATTAGCATACAAGCGAAGCACTTAGGGAGCAAAAGAAATATGTCCAGCCGTTGGAAAGGTATTTTGAAAGATTAAGAAAATCAACCGGCTTGCTCTGCCACTTGTGTGGCATTGGAGATGCACCTACCTGTACAAAGAAACAATTTCTTGTGGGCAAAAGTATTCATTATCCCCTAAACTTGAAGCTTATTATTCAGTGTACACCTAAACTTTATTTTGTTTCAATTACCCCTGAACTTGCTTATTTATCGAACACGTACGCCTTTTCTGTCCACCTGGCATAGAAACTGAAATTAAACTCTACAAGGCGCGTGAGACAGCGATTTTTTGCCACATCATAAAGACAACGACAATATATGTAAAAAATCTATTTTTTCTTTAATATTTGGCTTATTTTAAGAATTTTTCTCTCTCTATTCTTTAGCTATTTATTCTTCTTTATCCCTTCTCCCTTTTCAAATTTCAGATTTTTCTCAAGAGCTTCGGGAATCCTCTTCTTGAAACACAATTCATCAAGTTCCAAATCAAAAATTTTCCTCTTATAGAAAAACTCTTTTGCATCTTCAACTCTACGAGCTGCAACATATCTATTAATCAAATACCATAAGTTTTTTCATTAACCAAATTTCCTCTCTTAGACATTTCGTCAAGCACTTGGTTGAGTTCATCAAACGTCTCATACAACCAAGAATATCGAGAATTCATTGAAAGATTTAATATTTGGTGAATACCTACATGGATTTTCACCTGCTAATATCCATTTGAAGAAGATAAAAGCTGGTTTCCAATCAGAACGGTGTCGTTTAAGCACGTTTAGAATAAAATCTTCAGATAATGTGAAATTGCAATTACTTAGAGATTGAAAAATGTCACTCACTGATTTATGGGCTTTATTCTTGAGAAGGGTCTGCACTTCCAACGCGCAGTTTTCTTCTCGGATATTGTGTGCATTAGGAATGAAAGCAACTCGTCATTTTGGGTTGAAAACTGTAGAAACGCTGAATTCTCCAGTAGAATTCTTTAGTTGACATTCCGATGACCTTTCCGGTGGAACGCCGGAAAAATAGATTTTGTTGGAATGAAAGCAATAGCAAACAAGAGCAAGTCATATAAGAGAAAGTTTGATTTGTGAATTGTGAAGGTTGGCATTATCTAGGTGACAAAATATTTATCTAGGTGGCAAAATATTTAACTAAGTGGCAAAATATTCATCTAGGTGTCGTGCGCGTGTGGACACGATCGTAGTGAGTGAACAGAAAAGGTGTACGTGTTCGATGAATAAGCAAGTTCAGAGGGTAAATAAAACAAAATAAAGTTTAGGTGTACACTGAATAAAAAGCTTCAAGTACAGTGGGGTAATGAATACGTTTGTCATTTCTTGTGAGGTAAGGTATAATACATTATAAATTAATAAATTAAATCACAATACAATAAGCTATATCTAATGTCACATTTAGCATATCTAATATATCTTCTTTTATCTTTCTTCGACGGAGCATTGTTGCTCATCTCAACATGTTATTTTTTCAACTTCGCAAATTACAAAATTTTAGGATTTTCGATCTATTTTACTAAGCGTGTTTTTCATTTTGTAACCTAACATCTAACATGCACATATCAGATTGCTTTTCACGTTTGCTTTTTACCAAGCTCTAAGCCTCTAAATTCTTAACATTTATTTTTCTTTCGGAAAAGGGCCTAAAATATCTTTAAAGTATTAAAAATTGTATAAAATTACGCTCCACCTACCTATTGGCTCCAAAATACCCTTCTCACCCACCTATTGGGTCCAAAATACCCTCGTCATCCACCTTTTGGTTCAAAATTGACCACTTATTTAACGATTTTTATATTTAAACTATTTAAATATTTTTTAAAATACGTGGTGCTCAACTATTTGTTATAATTTAACTTATTAGTATAATTTATAAATCAATTCATTACCCACCCATTATTAATTAAATCCCTCTTAATAAATCCATCACATTATTAATGTAAGCTACTGTCAATTGAGTGTTTTTAAAAATTATAGAAGTATATTATCATACATTCTAGTGGCTAAATAAAAATCACTGATAAACTTAAAAGTCTGACTATGTTCATCTTAATTATTCTTACTTCTCAATTATGTAATGTTACTTCATAGGTAACTTTTTTTAAAATAATATATTAAAGGTTTTAAAACAAATCATAAATATTTATAAAATTATATTTTAAAAAAGTGCATGAATTAATTTCGGATGAATTACTTGTTTACCTGTAATAATTTCTAATTCAATTTTAAAAGAAAGTGTCCTCCTAAATAAGCGGCTCAACCTACATTTAATTGGGATTTTGATTCGGACTCGAATAATTGTGGATGTCATTTTGCAGAATCTATGATTTTACCGTGTTTTAGTAGTGTTTATGACAATTTTGATATTATAATTGGATTATTAATTGAGTGAGGTTTAGTTAGGTAATGAGTGGGTAGTGGGTTGATTTTTATAAATTATATTAATAAATTAAAATTATAATCAATAGTTGAACGTCAAGTATTTTAAAAAATATTTAAAGAGTTTAATTTTAAAACAATTTAAAAAGTGGTCAATTTTGAACCCAAAGTGGATGAAAAGGGCATTTTGAAGCCAATAAATGGATGAAGGGTAATTTTATACCATTTTCAATAATTCAAGGCTAAAAGCCGTTTTCCTTTTCATATCCTTCTTGTTGCTCTTTAAGTTCCTTTCGTCTATCCTTTCATTCTTCTATGTCCAGTGTAAAATACTGATAAATTTATTTATGGTATTTGTATAATAATGACAAAGACTAATTCGAGCACTTCTATTTCTTAAAATGTTATCTAACTAGTCGAAAAGTATACTCACTGCATATTCTCAATTAAAAGTTGTATTCGAATCTTTCAGCAACTAATTACAAAACTTTCAAAAGCTACAAGTGAATCTCAACAGCTCAACCCCTTTTAATCTGCAAGGTTATTATCCCAAAAAGAAGAAATTTCTTACGGCTCAAAAGTAATTTAAAAATAAAAAATTCTTATAACCCGAAACAAAAGCCTACAGATTTGAAACCCACAGTAAAACATATCAAAATATCTCTTATAGCAAAAAAGTAAACCTAATCGTCAACAGATCTTGCAATCCAATCTAGCAGGTGAGATATACAAAAAATCAAATTGGGTCTTCTTCATTCTCAATAATAATTTATCTAAAAGGGAGAAGATAGTGACTGAAAGCACACCTGCAGAATAACACCAGCGCACACAGAGTAGCTGCAACAGAAATTTTCTACATACAACAATGGAAGAGCAAAAGTTTTAGGTATTAAAGCTGAATTAGAAAACTTTGTGTTGCTTGAGAAAATTCCTGATAAAAAGACACGTATAGAAAATAGGAGAATTCAAAGAAAAATTCATCACTTAGATAAGGTGAAATGATCAAAATACCCTTATAAAATAATTGAATGACAAAGAGCACACATGTTAAAGAACTTTAAACTCTCTCTTCCATATAAGGCTAGGTAAGAGTTGCCCGTGCAAGCACGGGCCCAACATTGCAATACTTTTGTGAGTTGAATGTAATGATAGTGCATACATTGAGACACGAGATTTTACGTTCTACAAGCTGCATTTTGACTCTTTTTCAGCATTATTCAGCGGCAGAGAGCACGTCTAGGATAAGAAGGAATAAATTTAGCGTTTAGTTATGGAGAGGATAAATGTGGAGTGTGATTGCAACATTTAAGTACCTAACGGTTTGCAACAATAGAAGCAAAATCCACGCTATCAACAACAAAACTGCAAAAGTGTCCTCCATCAATATTTATAGTAGCCGAGTAGACAAAAGAGTGGTGTCAGCCATATCGCAAAAAAGTGTGGAGTCCATACCCATTGTAGATAAACATAGCAAAAATGGTTGAATTTTGTTTGTTTATTATTGTTAAAGTCAACAAATGTTGCAACAAAATTCAAAGCTCGCCATTTCTTTTTCAACTAAAATCTTAGCAAGATTTCTACATAGGTGAAAATGTTGAAATCTTGTGTTTCTTGTGATGTCATTGGTGACATCATTAGGAGTAGATTAACTATAAATAGAGAGCTCTTGCTCATTTCAATATACACCCAAAAAAAAAGAATTACAAAGGAGAGAAAAGAAGAGTGAGACATCATAGAAGAAAATAATCTGTGAGGAAAAATAGAGAGTGTGAGCGGTATTGTAGTGAGGTGGAAAAATCAAAATAGTGTTATTTCTTTTGAATGTGTAGTGGTCTTTGGAGTTTTACTCAGACATACAAGTGTAAAATCCTTACTATAGTGATATTCGTTGCTCCTCTCGGGTTGTGGTTTTTCCCTTATTTAGGAGAGTTTCTACGTAAAATCATGGTGTCATTATTTCTCTTTTATTCTCGTTGATTAACAGTATTGTTGTGTTCCGCATTTGTTGCCTTTATTACCGCAAATATTATTTCTGTTACGGATTTATTCCCAACAATTGGTATCAGAGCACAGGTTCTGCTCATTTACAGAAATTTTGCAGCTTATTGTACTATACTCAATAAAAAAATATCTGGAGTTAAGTACGAGGTAGCAAAATTCAACGGTGATAGCGGTTTCTCAACGTGGCAGAGAAGGATGAAAGACTTGCTCATCCAACAGGGTTTGCACAAGGCACTAGGCGGCAAATCCAAAAAGCCCGAATCCATGAAACTTGAGAATTGGGAAGAAATGGATGAAAAGGTTGCTAGTGCAATTAGATTGCACTTAACAGATGATGTAGTTAATAACATCATCGATGAAGAGAGTGCATGTGGCATTTGGACAAAGTTAGAAAATTTATACATGTCCAAAACACTGACAAATAAATTATACCTAAAGAAGCAGTTATATGCGCTACATATGGGTGAAGGTACAAATTTTTTGTCTCATTTAAATGTACTTAATGGACTAATCACGCAGCTAGCAAACCTAGGAGTAAAGATCGAGGATGAAGATAAAGCCATAATGCTCTTAAACTCGTCGCCATCTTCCTACGATACTTTAGCAACAACCATTTTACATGGTAAGGACTCTATTGAGTTGAAGGATGTCACATCAGCCCTTTTGCTTAATGAGAAGATGAGAAAAGGGCCTGAAAATCACGGACATGCTCTCATCATAGAAAGTAGAGGCAGAAGTTACCAAAGGAGCTCAAGTAACTATGGTAGATCCGGAGCTCGTGGAAAGTCCAAAGTCCGATCAAAATCGAAGGCCAGAAATTGCTACAATTGCAATCAACCAGGGCACTTCAAAAGAGATTGTCCAAATCTAAAAAGGGGCAAAGGGGAAAGCAGCGGCTAGAAGAATGATGACAACACAGCTGCCATGGTGCAAAATAATGACGATGTTGTTCTCCTCATAAATGAGGAAGAAGAATGCATGCACTTGGCAGGTACAGAGTCAGAATGGGTGGTCGACACAACAGCATCTTATCATGCCACACCGGTAAGAGATCTTTTTTGCAGTGATTATGGCAATGTGAAAATGGGTAACACAGGGTACTCAAAGATTGCGGGGATCGAAGACATTTGCTTAAAAACAAATGTTGGATGCACATTAGTGTTGAAAGATGTGCGCCACGTACCTGATTTGCGGATGAACTTGATCTCGGGAGTTGCTTTGGACCAAGATGGATATGAGAACTACTTTGCAAATAAAAAATGGAGACTCACTAAAGGGACATTAGTGATTGCAAAAGGAGTTGCTCGTGGCACATTATACAGGACAAATGCAGAAATATGCCAAGGTGAATTAAATGCGGCTCACGAAGAAAATTATGCAGATTTATGGCATAAAAGAATGGGTCATATGAGCGAGAAAAGATTACAAATCCTTTCCAAAAAGTCACTCATATCTTTTGCCAAAGGGACAACGATAAAATCGTGTAACTACTGCTTATTTGGTAAACAACATAGAGTCTCATTTAAGACATCATCTGAAAGAAAGTCGAATATACTTGATTTGGTATATTCTGATGTTTGTGGTCCAATAGAGATAGAATCGATAGGAGGTAATAAATACTTTGTTACCTTTATTGATGACGCTTCTCGAAAATTGTGGATTTATATCTTGAGAACCAAAGATCAGGTGTTTTAAGTATTTCAAAAGTTTCATGCTCTGATAGAAAGAGAGACAGGTCGAAAGCTAAAACGTCTCGGAACCGACAATGGAGGTGAGTACACTTCAAGAGAATTTGAAGAGTACTGTTCAAACCATGGAATCAGACATGAAAAGACAGTTCCTGGAACCCCACAACACAATGGTGTAGCTGAGAGAATGAATCGCACCATTGTTGAGAAGGTGAGAAGCATGCTCAGAATGGCTAAATTACCCAAGACATTCTAGGGTGAAGTAGTTCGGACAGCGTGTTATCTTATCAATCGTAGTCCATCAGTTCCATTGGAGTTTGACATTCCGGAGAGAGTTTAGACCAACAAAGAGTTGTCTTACTCGCACCTAAAGGTGTTCGGTTGCAAAGCTTTTGCACATGTACCGAAGGAGCAATGAACCAAGCTAGATGATAAATCAGTTCCTTGCATATTCATCGGATATGGAGATGAAAAGTTTGGGTACAGACTATGGGATCTTGTAAAGAAGAAGGTCATCAGAAATAGAGATGTAATCTTTCAAGAAAGTGAAGTTGGAACTGCTGATGATCTATCCGAGAAGGCCAAGAAAAAGAATGGTATAGTTCCTAATCTTGTTACCGTTCCTTCTTCTTCTAACCATCCCATAAGTGCAGAAAGTATGATTGATGAAGTTGCTGAGCATGAAGAGCAACCTGATGAGATTGTTGAGCGGGGGAGCAACTTGGTGATAATACCAAGCAAATGGAGTACCCAGAAGAAGAACAATCTCAACCTCTGAGGAGATCAGAAAGACAAAGGGTAGAATCAACCAAATACCCTTCCTTAGAGTATGTCCTTATCAATGATGAAGGTGAGCCAGAAAGTCTTAAGGAGGTGTTCTCTCATCCAGAAAAGAGCCAATGGATGAAAGCCATGTACGAAGAGATGGGATCTCTACAGAAAAATGGCACATACCAGCTAGTTGAACTTCCAAAAGGAAAAAGACCACTTAAGTGCAAGTGGGTCTTTAAACTCAAGAAAGATGGAAATGGCAAGTTGGTGAGGTACAAAGCTCGATTGGTTGTAAAAGGCTTCGAACAAAAGAAAGGTATTGGTTTTGATGAAATTTTTTCACCTGTTGTCAAAATGACTTCTATTCGAACTATTTTGAGCATAGCAGCTAGTCTAGATCTTGAAGTGGAGAAATTGGACGTGAAAACTGCATTTCTTCACAGAGATTTGGAAGAAGAGATTTATATGGAGCAACCAAAGGGATTTGAAGTATCTGTAAACAAACACATGGTGTGCAAATTGAATAAGAGTCTTTATGGGTTGAAACAGGCCCCAAGACAATGGTACAAAAAGTTTGACTCTTTCATGAAAAGTCAAACGTACACAAAGACCTATTCTGATCCATGTGTATACTTCAAAAGATTTTCTGACAACAATTTTGTTATTTTGTTGTTATATGTGGATGACATGTTAATTGTAGGACAAGACAAAGAGCTGATTGCAAAATTGAAGAAAGATTTCTCCAAGTCATTTGACATGAAAGACTTGGGCCCAACACAACAAATTCTAGGGATGAAGATTGTTCGAGAACGAACAAAAAGAAAGTTGTGGCTATCTCAAGAGAAGTACATTAAACGTGTACTAGAACGCTTCAACATGAAGAGTGCTAAACCTGTTAGCACGCCTCTTGCGAGTCATCTGAAGTTGAGCAAACAGATGTGTCCTACAACAAAAGTGGAGAAAGAGGGAATGGCTAAAGTTCCTTATTCTTCAGCAGTGGGGAGTTTGATGTATGCGATGATGTGTACAAGACCTGATATTGCTCATGCAATTGGTGTTGTTAGCAGATTCCTTGAAAATCCTGGAAAAGAACACTGGGAGGCAGTTAAGTGGATACTCACGTATCTAAGAGGTACCACAAGAGATTGCTTGTGTTTTAAAGGATCTGATCCAATCTTGAAGGGCTATACTGATGCTGATATGGCAGGTGACCTCGATAATAGAAAATCCACTACTGGATATTTGTTTACATTTTCAGGGGGAGCTATATCATGGCAATCAAAGTTGCAGAAGTGTGTCGCACTCTCTACAACTGAGGCAGAATATATTGTAGCTACTGAAGCTGGCAAAGAGATGGTATGGCTGAAATAATTTCTTCAAGAACTTAGATTGCATCAGATTGAGTATGTCGTCTATTCTGACAGTCAGAGTGCAATAGACTTGAGCAAGAACACCATGTACCATGCAAGGACGAAGCATATTGATGTGAGATATCACTGGATTCGTGAAAAGATAGAGGATGGATCTATGCAGGTCATGAAGATCTCTACTAGTGAAAACCCTTCAGATATGCTGACCAAGGTGGTATCAAGGGACAAGTTTGAGCTATGCAAAGAACTTGTCGGCATGTAGTCAAGCTAGAAACCTAGAGCTACCTCCTTCAGGGTGAATGGGTTTGGAGGGGGAGATTTGTGGAGTCCATACCCATTGTAGATAAACATAGCAAAAATGGTTGAATTTTGTTTGTTGATTATTGTTAAAGTCAACAAATGTTGCAACAAAATTCAAAGCTCACCATTTCTTTTTCAACTAAAATCTTAGCAAGATTTCTACATAGGTGAAAATGTTGAAATCTT